TGTCGCTTCTGCTCCTACCAGCTTAGAGTGGCTTTCTCGTGAATTCACGTGTCTGTTGCTATTGGCATGTACTCAGCCCTGCTGTGTGCTGTCGCCCTATGTGTATTGTTATAAATCTGATAGATCTGATCGGGTCGAAAGACTATGCTGGGCCGCCCTTCTTCCACAAATCTGCCCAACGCTTTAGGGTTCGGGACGAGATCGCGCGCGTCACGCACGGCTGCCATGAAAGGAATCAATTTTACTAGCCGGGCGTCGGAGTGGAAAGTCACGTGGCTCGGTACCAATGCGACCGCAGATAGCTGCACGGCAACGGAAAGGGGGCATACATTATTCTGGAGGCTCCGCTGCCATTGGCCTCCTATAGCTTAACAGAGGCCCGTTCGACCGATACTTGACCCTTTTAGTGAGCATGCAGCAAGGAAGCAGAGAACTATTGTAGCCGTTGTGAAATTTGAATGGAACTCCGAAAGAAGAGGTAATTAGTTTTTCTTGCGCGGAAGACCTTGAAACTTTGCATTATGCTGTCCGGAGCCCTTGCATAGACAGTCCTCTGGCCTTTTGGGAAGCTCTTGAGGAAACAAAGTGGTGCAAGATTCTACGCCTCCAACGTAGTAGGTACTTTTGATATGAGCCATAGTCTTAACTCCTTACAATGGGGTCATAGAGGGGATCGTATAGTGGACAGGGGTTACCAAGGGGGATACTAGGAGTTTAGGCTATAGCTCGTTTTGTACTGTAAGGTCCGTAGCTAAGCTCCAGCAAATTCCATCGTCGCGCATACTCCGAGGGTCGGAGTAATACAGCCCTGACAGATTGGTGGAAAGCTACGATGTCTGCAGGGTGGCCATACTAGAATGTACTGGAATGTAGTATAATATACTATAATATGCTACAATATACTAAGATATGTTATAGTATATACCACCAACCCAACTTAAGACTTAAGGGTTAAGGGACCCTTGCTTGACCTCTTCAGACGTCTCGGGTAAAGGGCTTGGAGCAACCTACTACAAGACGATGGATGTACGTCGTATGCTGTGCAGTCTACTTTCTGGCAGCTTGGTTTTTCTGACCATGCTTTAGCAGGGACTAGGTGCGAGACAGTTGTCTACGAGTTACCTTTTTGGAGATCAGAAGGGTTGAGCTGTTCAAGCCGAGATAGGGGCTCAAGGCCTAGAACATGAGTGTTCCTGCGACCATCCAACGTTGCGCCCATCCGTCCCCGCATTTACTCCACGGCATGAGAGTGGTCAGACCACCCCAAATAGTAAGCCTTGATCCATCCTATGACTACCACCCTACCTGCACGGCAAGGCGAAGGATTGCCAATTCCGCCCCTCGGCCTCCCAGGCCCGGTGTTGTGAACACGGGCTTTTGTGGGGGAGTTTGGGACAAGCGTTTGGGGAACGGTGCATGGGGACCCCACTGGTGGGCTCAATGGACCCAGGGAAACCCTGCTACACCTCTGAAAGGCTATGTCCTACTTCGTGGGCTGCAATGCNNGGGATTCCTGAGGACGCAGGCTTCACGGGCTTGCAAGCCTCGAAACCCAAAACCCCTCCCCCGATCAATAGCGCCCGACAAAGCTACCCTAAATGACATGATTCCGCCAAAATATCCTTGATTCATTTACACGAACCGCACATTACCAAACTGAAGGCTTCGCCATCAATGGTGGCAAAGGCTGGGCCGACGTGGTCTTTGACAACCACTTCATCAACGTCATTGGCGAGGTTGCCATTGCCATGGGCAACTATTTCTTCACCAGCGCAGCTGATGGAAGCAAGACCAAGGTCGAGTACACCTTCGGCTACGCGAAGAATTCGGATGGCAAGGAGAGGGTGTCCAAGACTTGCGAGTTGTTAAGTTGGGTGCTTTAGGTGAGCCTATAGGCTATATGTGTTTACATGATATGATGGGGCTTCCTCTCAAAGATTGCGTGGTGATGATTTCCCGCAGAGGTGCGCATCTTCCTTCACCATTCTTCTGTACCTTACAGCCCGGGCCCTCCTGCAATTTCGCAGGCAGAAGTGCAAGGCCCGCATGGGACTAGGAGGCGTCAGGGAACAAGGTAAGTAGTCCAATGGGCGTGAGGGTGGTGCTGGCGGTGGCAGCGGCGGTGGTAGTGCCAAAAGTAGTACGCAAGCGGGAGCAGCAGCAGCGGCAGTGGCGCCAGTAGTGGGGACATGTTGGAAGATTCGTAGTAGTAGTAGCTTCCCAGACTCTGGGTCACCCCGAATCCGCTCTTTTTTGAACAAGTACCTGCCATTCATTTGTTTTGGAGCCATAGGGGCTTACGTAGTCACTGATGTGTTTTGGCAGGCCATCGGAAATCTTGTTAGGGCAAGGCGTTAGTGTGCATTCTGCTGGCCTCTCTTTCTACATGCCCAAGACATGTTCAGGTGCACCAACCAATTAAGCCACGCGTTGTTTTAAGAAGCGTCCACAGTACCCCGCTTGTGAAGCATAGAGCATCCAAACCCAACCCTGAGCCCTAAAAAGTCGATCAACAGGAAACCTGAAACTCAAACCAACCCAGCGCCACAAGGTGCACAGGCAGCCTGGGCGAGCGCTATCAAGAGCATTTCCAGGCAGGGGCGGGGGTCCTTCCGGGAGACTCGTTGAATGGTTTAAGTTAGGGTTCGGATCGAACGTGCTTGCTAAGAAGAGCACCTCGCTTCCAGGACCTACCTCGACGGGGGCGACTATGTCGGAGCGGCAGCCGCGGCGGCAGGTAAGCTGTGTCTGGGCCACTGTTGGAAAGATTTGGTGCAGGATTTGGCAACGGTTTTCGTTTTTTCTTGATGTGAAGGACAATTGAGAATTTGCATGAAGCAGATGATGCAAACGCCAATTGTGAAGTAATGATGTGCTTGCACGGTAAGCAGACAACCTGCCTTCTACTTCTAAGGATTTGCAGGTGCTTTGTTAATTTAAGGGCAATTAGGGAATCCTATATAACAGCACAAAGATTGATCTTGAGGGCATGGTGGACTAGAACGGGGAATGTAGACAACGTACACTTGCAACGTCTAAAGGAATCTTGGAGCCTCATATAAGATGCAAATGCGTAATTCTTCGCTCGCTGTTCCGACTTGGAACCAGGTATGGATACGGCCATACAAACGTCCTCTTCAAGCCTACAAAGGCCGGATGACATGTCTCAATGCCTCGTGTGTTTTGAGTGTCTTCGCTGCATGCCCTGCGCAATGTGCGTGTTCTGAGCCCGCGTCTTTTCCGCGTGCGTTCCCTGCAGCCCCTGCTGCCGTGCGCATATTGTAAGGGTTAATGATGCGCTATAAGCATGCAATC